TCGCATTGGAACGAATTATTTGGTTTAACATGTAATCGTATGGGAAAAGTTGATTTACCTTACGACATTTTCGTGATACGATCTCAGTTTCGGAATGGATTAATTTCGTATCTTGAGGTACCACTGTAATGCCAAACTCAGTGATTTCTCCGTCCTACTATGATTGCTAAAATTGAAATGTTTTGAAGGGTTATGAAAAATGTTAGAAAATATTTTTTTTATTACTCGTAGAGAAAATATTTATTTATAAAACTGAAGATATTTGTTGTCCAAATTCATTCTGAAATATGACTATTGCTGAGGACCCATGAAGACTATGAAAGATAATTAGGATAGTCAAGAAATCAATTAGTCTTTTTAGTAATTAAATTATCAAAATATATATTCACTTGTCCTCAATTTTTGATTCATCTACTCAAATTTCTGAAAAATGGTAATCTTTAGTTTCTATGTCAAATAGCCCCTCTTTTTAACAAATTCAATATAATGCTAATGGAATTATTGATATGATTAAAATCTTTAACTACTATTGTATATTATTGTAAGTTGTTGTTGCTAATTTTATAGTTATAATTAAAACTTTTATTACACTATTAGGAGTAATTATTCTATTCTTCTAATTTAGGTTATTATTTACAATTTACATTTTCTATTTTTTTAATTTTCTGACATATTTTATTATTAATCATATAGAAAATTAAATGATACAACTGGATTAAATATTGGGCTAGAGCTTGGATTGGCAGTTACTCAAGCTGTATTATTTGATCATTCTTTTATTATTGTTTTACATTTACATATTACAAATTTACAAATTTCATTTTTAGTCATTTCTATGTTAGAACTAATATAATTAATGAAAGAATTAACACTTAATTAAAATTTTTAACAGAATAGTATTTAATTTAACAAAAATAATTTATATGCATTTTTTATTTTTCCATATTAGTAGTATTTAATATTTATTTGCTTTTAGAATATTTTATTTTTTTCTTAAAATTGAAAATAAATAATAATATAAAATATTAATGACTTGAAATTCATTATTTTAATAGATATTGATGAATGTTTGGATGATATTCCTAATTGTAGTCCTGATGCTACTTGTTTCAATACTCCTGGATCTTATGAATGCCACTGTAAATCTGGATTTACAGGTTCAGGATTTGAATGTACAGGTATATTTGTATTCACAGTGTTCACTATGTAATAGAGTGAACTAAAAGATTCATTAGAAAATAAATTAGTATAATTTTATCCAAATATTATTGAAAATAATTTGTATTGATCAAGTTTATAGTAGAAACAGTTATAAAAGTAATAAAAAGTGATATTAATATATTAAAATTTTTTAATTTTTCCATTATAATATTTATTAGACAGTTTTAATTAAATTACTTATTTCATTCATAAAAAATTTCATTTTAAGTAAAATTTATATAAATTTTTTTTTTTTTTTTTTTTTTTNGATTAAAATATTAAAACAGTTATTTTTCTTTTACGTCATATAGACCTTATTAGCAATTACAACTTACAAGTATTAAAATTGAAAAGCTTCTTAAGAAATGCTTAGACTTTGTTTGATGTTACTGGAGTAAATTAATGGAGAAAAAATTTAATATTGAAGTATTAAGTTTGATTAAACATTCTAAATTCTTAAATTACAGGAATTACTCAAAGTAATCATTATAATGATAATTCTACACTTATACCTTTCATCAAAGTTTATGAAGTTTTTTGTTTCTATATTGTCTACTTGGACCTTGTTTATTAATAGGACTTGTTATACTGGTGTAGTTTCTGATTAGCAAAGAGGAAATTTTAGTCAAAAGTCAAAACAAAATAAAAATATCTTTATTTTACCTGAATTATTTATTATGAAGTATTTCTTCATTTTTAATCAATCTCTCATTTATGAGCATAACATTGTAACATATCTTGCAATATTTTCAGTGTTGATTCATTATTTAACATTATGATTCATAATCATTTTCTGGTGATTCCTCCTTCATACATTGATGCTAATATGGCTATATTTAGGAATATGAAAATGGCCTATTAGTTAACAATAAGTTTATTTAATAAAATATGTTCAGATTGTGTAATAAAGTATTTATTTATTTATTATAAAATTAAGATTGTTATATTTTTAACCAGTCAAATATAGATAATGGTTTGAAATATAGATCATTTTTTGATGTAAAACAATATGTAGCAGTTTGAAATTCAATAAAATAAAAAATATATATACAATATAAGTATTAACAATATCATTGCAATTTGAAAAGATAATTATGGATTCCTTAGATTTTCTACATAGTATAATATGGTTATTTCCTTTTCTTAAATAACTTATTTTCTATTTTAAACAGTTTGAAAAGATATTTAATATGGGATGATCAGATGTTTTATCATTCTTTATTAAAAAATAATTGTTTATAGTTATAATTTTGCAAAAAAAAAAGAAAATAAAATTACTTTCTAAAATAATACTATTACATATATATAAGCTATAATTTTTAACATAACTTATATATATGTAATAGTATTATTTTGGAAAGTAATTTTATTTTCTTTTTTTTAAATGAAAATCAAAGAAACCAAAATTAGATTGTGATTTATTATGTATAATATTATATTGATAATATAATTTTCACTTTTGTATTACTCCTTGAATAGCCATTCAGATATTTATCAGAAAAGTAAGTTGATTTAGTCAAAAATGAACCAAATTGTTACTAGAAGCAAAGTATAATGATACTATTGTATTAATATTTTAACAGTATTTGGAATTTATTTACAAAACAATAAAATGTTCATCATTTATTTCTAGAAACTCCTTTTACATAGTAAAACTTTATAAGAATTTTACTGTAATGAATAATAATAATCGTAATATTACATATAGTGATTTTTAAAAATAAATGCTTTATCATAATTTTAGAAATAATGGTAAATTAATGTATATGTTCACAGAAGTACAAATGTTTATTTGTTAATTATTCATTTATTATTGTACTTTTATTTATTTTTACAGATGTTGATGAATGCAGTGAAAATAAACATGTATGTAGTCATATCTGTATAAATTTTCCTGGAGGATTTGTTTGTAGTTGTCAGGATGGATATATTTTATCTTCTGAAAACATATTATGTGAAGGTATAATATATTTTTCATCATAAAGAAGTCATCATTCAAAATGAATTTGATAAAAATAATAAGGTTTTTCTTGCACAAGTATTACCACATACTACAGAAATATAAACATTAGGCTTCACAACATGATACTACAAAAAGCTGCCACATTAAACATGTTGTTCTTAAACACAAATACATAAATGAACAGCATGTAAACATGTTATTAGCTTGTTCCATAATTATGTCTTGACCTTAGTCTATCAAAGCATTAGGCATTGGTATATAAGCCAAATAGAATACACTTCATCACACAGTAATAACAACTCTCTCACTAGTCACCAGCTTGTTGAGATGAGATAGCTTAGCAGTTTCAATTAACTATAGAGCAATACTGGCAGGGGCACAGCTTTCAGTATGCCACCCATGCCAGTAAGACTTATGAGGAGAAATGAAGCAGAGAATGACCCACTAGTAGTGTCTGATTCAGAGTGGACAGCTGCTGAACATCTGTTCCCCATGTTAGTTGTAGCTGACTTATAAACACCTGGCTTAAGTGTGGCTACTGTGCAAAGATAAATATATTCATCACTTTGTTCACACAATGGACATGCATACCAACTCAACTAAAGTACTTCAGCAGTATTCCAATTACTACCAGCAAGGTTGGTAAACCATGCTAACAAATGAAGTGGACTGAAGATATAAATTAATTTATTACCCATACCTACTACACTTTCACAAAACTGAAAACAGATATGAGAGCATACAGACTGACATTACATGACAAATTCATACAAAATTATCAACATAATAATAATAAAAATAATAAATAAAAATACAACACTCATTACAGTTTTATAAATTAAATGCAACAGTGGAGAACAACATCTCAAACTTCTTGACACACAAAAAAAATATACATAAGGCTAAGTATTTTCTAGGAATTCATTAAGTCTATTTTGGTTTTGTCTGATCTCATGTGATGTACACGGTTGAAATAAAAACTGTATGCATTTATACAAGTGCAGCTAAATCACATATAGAAATTACATAAAAACACTTGCTCCAATGACATTCAAATGGAGTTTGGCCTAGAAAAAGATAAAACACTTCATATTGAAAAATGAATTCTGAATAAAAATCATTCCACTCAGAAATGGAGATATCACTGACATATTCATTTGGACACATAAGTCATTCTGGTATTGACATATTCATTTGGAGTTGTACATTGGACACACACAGAACTAGGACACAACTCCAAAGGAAAATACAAACAATATTAATAATAAAACAACAAATACCACTCTAAATCATCTGTAGAAAGTTATTGGGTTCAAGACCAGACAGAACTAGAGTGGACTTAATAAATCTCCCTGAAAAATGTCTTGCCTTATATATATTTCATTTATTTTAGTGTATTTGTTGTGAAGCCTGAGATTTAGTGTTGTTCTCCAGTGTTGTATTGTTCTCTAGAAATGCTATGAATTTTGTGTATATTTTGTATATATGTAGTACAGTAGAGCATTGATTATCTGAATACAAACCAACTGAAACATCAATTAACCAAAAGCATTCCAATTGGCAATTGCTAGTGCTGTGGCGCTACAGCACTCTCTCCCTCCCTGCCAACCTAAACTGAAGTCCTACTTTAATGTACTACTTTATGTAAGATATGTATTTGTAAGACACATAATACAAAATATATACAATACAGTTTTGTGTTTAATATATTTTTTCGTAAATGATCAATTATCCAAACAACCCCAGTCCCGAATTGTTTCAGATAATTGATGCTCTACTATATTTGTAATAAGCATATGTGTAGGATGCTGCAAATGCTTTCCTCTTCAGCCTTTCATTGCATTTTTGGCTCTGCTGAGGAAACTTCTGTCTTCATCTCATCTGCAATTTTGCAGAACTTTGCTTGAGTAGACTTGTTCATCTGGGTTCTTTCTTGTTGAAGCCTGATGACGTCTTCCAGTTTTCTTTTAGACAATGCTATTATTCTTTAGAGAAATAGTAACTGGAATAGAGATAGGACTTCTGAATTAAATTTTCATGAAGTGCACAATGGATCTTTTAGATCAAAGTACTTTTGGCTTGTCCCCATTTTTTTAGTCTACAGTCTAATATTGAAATATTATTTTTTTCTTAATGTGAATTTTATTATTTAATTTAATAGTATAATATTCTGTTAACCATATATATATTTTTATTTATAAGTAACTACAGTAGAGCGTCGTTTATCTGAATCAATTGGGGACTGGGGTTGTTCGGATAACTTATTTTTCGGATAACCGATTATGTACGAAAAAATAAATTAACCTATCCCATGTTGAAATTTTTCTCCATTGCATGTTGCTTCACGTTGAATTTTCGTCGATGTTAAGCCTAATGTAAAATTTTTAAAATAATAATCGTGGCTATTGTATCATTAAAAATTATTTCTTTATTTTTTACAAACAAAATAAATATATTGAAAAATATAAAAACAAAAAAAATTATACTTTAGAAGTTAATCTAGTATCAAAAACATTTGATTCAGCATGACACACAGTCCTCAGAAAAACACCACAAAAAAATGAGTGCTGCCAGCTAAAAAACACACATCAACAAAAAAATATTGGAGTAGCCCAAGATATAGCCAAAGATTGCAGCATCACAGCACTAGTGAAAATTTAAATTTGCCAACTGGAATTCTTTCGGATAAACGACGCTCTACTGTATTATGTATTTTCAAAAAACTTAATTTTTTATTTTGATAATTGATTTTATTTTACAGATATAGATGAATGTAAAAATTCTTCAGATCATGATTGTGATCATAACTGTCATAATAATCCAGGTTCATATAACTGCAGTTGTAATGATGGTTATGAATTACTAGATGATGGAAAAACTTGTATTGGTAATTGAAATTTTTAAAATAATTATTAAATTATCAGTTAACTAACTAATATTTAAATTATTTTTACATGTAATTTAAAATTAAATTTTAATAATTATATATAAATATGAAAGTTTATATATAAATTTTAAATTT